GGTAGAAGCGAATAACTGACTATCGAATCATCCAACAAAGTTGAGAATGCCTTTTGTGAATTGCGCGTAAGACTACATAAATCTTCAATGAGAATATGTTGATGAAGCGAAAACAATGGTTCCGCGATTATGAAGGGGAACTCTTGAGAATTTACTTGGAAAGAGGGATTCTACATTGTTCAGCTGGAGAATTCTCTTGTTCGCGCGGTGTTCAATTAAAATTTCAATCAGTGCCGTCCGCGGGCGCTGTAAAAATCAAGCAAAGGCTCGAACTGTAATACATACTATACAATGAAAATTATTAGAAGAGATCGCGTTTTATTCACGCTCGACGATCATTGTTCGGTCGATATGACCACCATTTGCATTATATGATTGGTGAAACAATTGACGTATTATAATTTCGCTATGTCCTTCTCTCATCGATCTTCAGACATTTTTTGCTGAAACAAAAAACAGAAACTTTTTCCTTTTATTCTTTTGTTCATCCATCTACGTAATTATTTGTGTATTATGTAATATTATATACGTACGTATTGTACGATTGGTGTCAGATAATATTATCTTTTCAGTTTAGAACCGTCGAGTATTTCACTACCATAGCATCACAACCATGATTCACGAAAGAAATTAGTCACCAAATTCTCTTTTGACCCAAGAGTATCTGTCTACTCCCTCGACTGTAGTAGGATATTGCTACGCTTTTTTGACCTGGCAACGTTTGAACACGGCACACGGGCGTATGCTTATGCATCCGACGCACGTAGTATACCATGGAGATGCACATTCCCCATCGCCATCTTTCCTTTCACACTCGAAGGTCGTGTCGGAGCTATTATCATACGAGAAGAGTTACTCGTAAGGATTCACAAGGAGTTATAAGGAAAGTTTGACGAAAAATGTCGTGAATTACAAATGGTGGATTAATCATTGATCAGACTTTTTGAAATTTTACTCGTATAATGTTATTCGTATAAAATGTTTCGTATGATATTCGAATAAGCGACATTGGCTACAAATAAATGACATATTTTTTTTTTTTTTTTTTTATATCAATCGATATCAGAGAAAAGTTATTTCAAAGGAATCAATGTAAAGATAGTTCCTTAGATCTGACTTTTATCAAGTCGGAATTGCAAATTTTCTTGAAGACGAATCACTATCTTTCGGATTCTTTCAGCGTTAGTCACTGTACATATGAGTCACAGATCAACTTCAGATAAAAAGAAAGTGGTTGAACTCTCTTCGAATTCTTTGAACAAAGGTGCGGGACGTAAGTCATCAACTCTTTTTTTATTTTTCTCTACGCTCTTCTCCTCTGTGTCTCCCGTTTTATAATATAAATACGTAGATCGTTTCGTAAGTACCCGATAACGAATAAAATTCTAACTTTTTAAGGTTCGGTCGAACAAATGAAACGAGAATTAAGTGATATGATCGATACACATACGCACACACATATTCGAGTTGAATAGTAGTACGTTGGTTATATATCACGTTGAGTCAAGTATACAGGCGGCGCTAATAACGCAGAGTCCGTCGTATCGGGCTCATTAAAGCGTATGCCACATAATAAAGAGGGGAGCTGCTCGAAGTGCAGAAGCGTAATTCGATTGAACGAAGTTATCAACGACGCGACTCGATCTTCGCGTATGCAGTTTATATTCGACGTATAGAAACGTATGCAATTTATATAGTTCGTATATGTCGATTTTAATACCTTTAGAAATGAAACGAGAAACACAGAGACATGCAAGCCGTCAAAAATATATAAAATTACGATCAATGTGGGAACGCTAGAAACATTTCACATCTCACATACTCGTGACGCTTGGTCAAAAAGAGTTGACTGTCATTGACGCGCCAAACGACAGTAATAAAATATTTATGAGCCTGTGTAAACGATTTATATCATCATTTGAAGACGGCCTGCGCGTTAGAGATCTCTTGAAAAACGGACGTAGTCGAAAGTTTTTGCGTCCATAGAAACGCTTTTTGAATTGCTAATGAACGACTCGTACCTTCCTCGATCGTTTCTTGAAATTCCCCTACCGAGAATCTTATATTATTCTCCTATATTCCTTTTAACGTTCAAATGTGCTTAAACGCATGATAATATAATTTTTCATACGTTTCTCGTAACGCATATCATTTTTTTTTATATTAAATTGCATAAAAAATGACATGCTTATTGATATTACAATTGATATAAGTACACGTGTACGATTTGTACGAGTAAGAGGTAAGTAAGGACATCAATTTGTAATATCATATGGCACTTGGACGCTTACCGAGAGCGTAACCGATGCGGTTTGCATTCTAAAGTAGCGTATGGATAGTCCGGTTGAATGCGTTACAAGTGTTTATTCGAGAACGATTATGATCGTCGTTGCGAAGGGCTGGGAGGAGAGCAAGAGGGTAGATTCGTTCGTTCGAGTCCGAAACGTAGATTCGTTTTCAATGAAAGAACGACGCGATCCACGCGACCGTTTTACTCCGACGCATTGGTAAGCCTATTACCTTGCTAAGTAAATACCGTGGGTAATCCGATTGCGTCGAGAGTGCTTACTTTCGCACGTTTTAACCATTAGCGAGACGTTCCTTTCATCGTAGCAAGAGTCTCTCCGAGTACTGTCACGAATATCGTCCTATCCTAGAGGGTGGATTATTTTCGTTGTTCCTTATTTTTACGAGGAAATTAAAAAGAAAAAAAAAAAAAAAAAAAAGGAAAAAAAAGACGAGCGGAGAGCAACGAGAGTGAGACATAGGGTGCAAATTCGTTTCATTTCTCTTCAGTAATCGTTGTAACGTTACAAAGATGACATACGTACGTACGTACGTACGTTGATCGTTCTCGTAGACCTTCGCGTATCGTTTGCGTATACGTATGTAGATACATAGTGCGCGAGAGTGATCGAGAACCGCTCATTCATTGCGAAAACGTGTGTTAATATTAATCCGTGAAACGATTGAACGAATCTTCAAAATAGCGAGCGTTTACAGATCATTTTCGCTTCGCTTTTAATCGCACTCGATGGACGTTTTGTATGTTACATTTTAATTTTAACCAGCGCGATTAATGAATATTCCTTTTTCTTTTATTCAGTGCGATGACATTTTAATAATTTTTTTTTGTATTTAATTTTATAAATTGTAACGCGTTTTCGAATTCCGACAAATTATCTTTGAAAATCTTCCGTTCTTCTCTTTCGTTCATTAACGAAGAACCTTCTCGGTTTTTATAATTATCGCGTTCCTACGCTTGACAGGATCGATCTTTATTTCCTTCCGTTCGGGCACAAAAGACCGGATCGATAAATGAGTCGAATAAAAAAGAACTCACCCCTAAAAACTGTGTTCCCATGTCACGTACACGCATGCCGCCTGAGATTGATACGGTCAAAAGGGATTGGGTCGGTGGTGGTTCTACGTTTTGTCGATTTCACTAATATTTATTAGAACTTATATGCAAGAAATAGGAACGAACAGAAGCTGTGGTTTAACGTGGCGCTGTGTCATGAGCGTGAGATAGAGTCAGTGTTGGTTATCTAGCATAGACCAGCCTCGAGATATAGCTCACGTGGCCTATTTGCTTATCCATTACGTGATGCCTGAGGGAATTTCGCAAGACAGGTAAATAACTTTGCTCTACGTGATCGATCTCTTACTATACAAACGTTCGACGGATTTTCTTTCCGAATGAAAATAATCTTTCCAGACGAATTTGTCTGTAACAGATCTAAAAGATACAGTGAGATCGAATGGGTTTTAAAAATTGAGATTGACCTCGACTAAGATTGCGTTTTCTCAAATTGTTGCAATTATTCCCGATAATAGTATAGGCTATAGTTTAAAATTGGAAAGGAGAAAGGACTGTAGGTATATAATTTGGTTAAGAAAACGGCGAAACGAGGGAAGAAGAAAGCTCGATGAAAGGTGATATAGGACCAAGTCGAAGAAAGAAAGGAAAAAAAAAAGAAAAGAAAGGTACAGAAGGAGAAGAAGGTTTCCCAGCGGGTCTCTCTCAGTTCTTGATCCCGACGGTTGGCTCTTAGGGGCACCGATTTAGGGGGAGAAGGTCCGTGTTCGGAATTAGGGGAGACTCTGAGGTGGGGTTGCGATATAAAAGATTCTTTGGGAACCAGCCTCAAGATTCGATCACAGGGGTTTTTTATATCGTCGAGTCGACGACGACGACCGTTGGTAGAATCTGCTTCTCGCACCGCGGTCACTTTCTCAAGGTTCCAAAGTTTTTAGGGTTTTAACGATTGATCGACTAAACTCGACTACCAGAATCCTCTGGGAATACCCTGGAGGATTCTTTCTTGAGTTCGAAACTGCACCCATTAAATCTCATTTGTCATCGATTTTATTTCGATGAACGGGGAGCTGTTCTCCTTCGGTCTTATCGAAATCTATTTGGTCGAAAGAGTTTCATTTAACGTTCAAGTGTGATAATAATTGATAGACACGATGATATCTTCGAAATATGTATATTATACAGGAAATAACTTAAACGATCGACCGATCGTCATCGATTGAATGACTTCTTACGAGGTCATTCTTTTTATTAACATTGAAAACCCGCGAGAATCCTAGGATCGACAGTATTCTTTCATAATTTAGCAATTGTTTGCTCATCACTGTCATTGTTTACACGTACACCGGTACGATATAATGGACGGCTATTATTATATTATCATGATGCATTGCGTTATCTGCGTTATTGTTCGCAGACGATATTGCCAATCGTCGGATTGAGGAATTATCGGTTTTCTTTTATCGGATTAGGTAACGCGATGCCATTGTTATATCGAATTTATTTTAAACCGAAGCGATTTGAAGTACGATTGATTTCGTTTGCTCGTCTCGAGAACATCTAATCCGTCCTCCTTTAGAGTAATTTTCTTTTTGGAGGGAACAAATACTTTGGTGTATTGTCATTCGTGAACGTTTGTACGAGATAAATTACGTTTCCCTTATTTTATCGATATTCACAGAAGCGCGAGAGATCGCCGGGAAAGAGGATGGACCGGCTGCGGAGGAGCTTTCGAGACAGCTTCCGACGACGAAAAGATCCTCACGTACCGGAATCAAGTAAACCTCACCAATGGCAAGCAGACGAGAGTGCAGTACGTTCCGCTACCTGCGCTTTTCACGTTAAGGTAAGCACCATCGTTTTCGCGATTTCCTTAAGATGATATACGGTTTCATTAGCTTGTTCAAGGGGATGTCACAAACCTTACAAGTTCCTTATCGCCATCTAGTAGTTTCATCGCGAGTTAAACAAAAGGGTGACACCCAAGAATGATCGATCTGATACTAATTGGCTTCTTTCGATTGTTTCGTCATTATTCCTATAGACTTATTAGACCGATCCTAAGATAATTAATGATGACAAATAAGATCTATGATTAGAAGGAATAGAACAATCGATTAATTCGTTACGCCTGTAGATATATTTCAAAACTTTTCAATAATATCTTATGATTTATGTCATTGATAATAGCAATTTTTACAGTATTTAGGATGCGTCGAGGTGTTCGAGTCGAGAGGAATGCAGGTTTGTGAGGAGGCTTTGAAGGTGCTCAGGGTTAGTATAATTACATGTACATATATATATATATATATATATATATATATATATATATATATATGTGTGGTGATTCACCATCGAGTTTGCATTAATTCAAAGAACATTATCTGCTAATGATTCATTATATGTTTTTCTTGCAGAATTCCAGAAGAAGGCCGGTGCGCGCAGTCCTTCATGTGTCCGGCGATGGACTGCGTGTGGTCGAGGATGAGACGAAGGGATTGATCGTCGACCAAACGATTGAGAAAGTTTCTTTTTGTGCCCCAGATCGCAATCACGAAAAAGGCTTTAGCTATATCTGCAGGGATGGTACGACCAGACGGTGGATGTGTCATGGATTTTTGGCGTTAAAGGAGTCGGTACGTCGGAACTCTATCTTATCATTTATCGCACTGTAGGGTGGCTTTCTACAGGGATATAACGTTGCTTGGTCGGAATAGACATTATTACGCGAAAAAGAAATAATCTATCTTATGATATATATGAGAAGAAAAAAGAACAAAAAAATAGTTAAAATCGAATGAATAAGGTAGCCTTTCTATAATCGCAATAACATTTGTTTGCACGATCAATATGATAATCTCAATGGAAAAATGAATTGCTCGAACCTATCTTATAAAAAAAAGAAAAGAAAAAAGAAAAAACAACATGATCGAGTCTGCGTACGTATTCGATTTTAACATAGATACATTCTTTCAGGGTGAAAGATTGAGTCATGCTGTTGGATGTGCGTTTGCCGCGTGCTTGGAGAGAAAGCAACGTAGAGACAAAGAGTGCGGTGTAACGATGACGTTTGATTCAAAGACGTCGACCTTTACGAGAAGCGGTAGCTTCAGGCAACCGAGTCTTACCGAAAGATTGCAGGATACGCGTGAGCGTGCTGTAGGTCGGTTGTCCATTAAAAACCTTTTCACTTTTACATATTACAGAAAATAGTTCAGTAATGGATTATAAGAAATAACGTTAAAGTCATATTAACCTAATCGTCGATCACATAAAATGGACATTAAGAAACTTGTTAATATACTTTAATGATCTTAACGAGGCTTGCATTATTGTTAATAACGAGACGATAACGATAATCGATTAATCCCATTCATTGAATTGTATTTACCATACGAGCCTTCTTAGAAAAGAAAATTCTAATTTCATGCTGATTGTTATTATTATTTTTCTCTTATTATAGATGTTCCTCCGGTGAAGCAGGTATACAATCCCTTCGCTATTGAGAGACCCCATGCCACGCCTTCTATGTTAGAACGACAAGGATCCTTCAGGGGTTTTACTCAATTGAATCAAGCGTCTCCATTTAAAAGACAGCTCAGTTTACGCGTAAACGATCTTCCTAGTAATCTCGAGCGTACACGTAGTCACAGTCTTGAACCTACGGATTTATCGCGAATGCCATCGACCATACAGCACATCGTACCTTTGAAACCTCCAGGTAACTTTCGATCTTATACGACTTTATACAACTTTGTGAGTAATTTTTAGTCATATCATAATTATTCATATTTCGACGACACGAACGTACGACGTTAAGTATTATAAATTAACGATAAGTCGGCCATTACTTCGATAATATTCAATAACGATGTACTTCTCTTCATTTTTACAAACAGAGTACGAAGGATATGACGAAGGTCATTATTACATTGTCTTCGTTCATATTGCCTGCTCCCTCGTTGTTTCTTTTGGATCGTGCTCGTTTATGTTTATACGTCAGCCACCTGTTCGATTGCGTTTCAGATTCGAGCGTTTTAATCGAAAATAAAAAGGAAACGAACGCGTAGCTAGATACAAAGATTTATCGAAATTTCGTTGTAGTTTATCCCATCGTATTTGATGTTTTAAAACGATACACACCTTTATTCTTGCACAATCAATAATTTTGTTTTTAGGTGGACACGAAGAGTCGGATAAATCTAGATCATGGTAGTCCAATCATAACGTTGGTTCGATCGTCTTTAATGATAAAGTGACTGTTTGGTAAATACAAAAAGAAAACGTTCTTTCCTTTTTTTTTTTTTTTTTTTTTTTTTTTTTGATAAAACCTCGGTGCATAAAACTATTCGAACCAACGTTAAAATAGTTTCAATTCGTTCCCCACCCACCCCTTTAGATTAGACGTTCCTAGTAGAGAGTCCCCCATAATGTTCTCATTTGAAAATGACAAAACACTGGCTTGTACACGAAAGAGTTTTTTCCCTGTCCCTCGTGCTTCAATAGTTACCGTCGTTACTGGATCAATATAAATTTGATCCAGTGTTTTTCTTGATTTTCATTTTCACGCTTTGTTACACGTTTCCAAACGTGGTTCGGCATGCATTTCGATAGTACTCGGCACCAATTCGCTGTACTTGTTCGTACATAATGTGAACGTAATTAATATCGTAAAGTAGGAAAAAACCATGATAAGAATTTCATTTCGACAGTGAGCCCAATACCGGAAATATCGCCAGGTGGACAGGATAGCGTCTCTGCGATGTGCCAACAGTTGTCCCATGGACTTTCCTTGCTTTCGAGCAGCGACGATTTTGGACCATTGCCTTCCCAAGCCACAACCAGTTCGGTCGCGAAGCAACTTTTCATGAATACTAACAATACACCTCCCGGTAAGATGGATTCGGTTAAAGATATAATAAAAGTTAGATGTATCCAGGGACATTATATCTTAATCTCCGAATCGTGTTCTTTTTCAGTAACGAGTAGCAGCTCGCTGGACGACATGAAATTACAAAATGGGCCGAATCTTAACAACAATAACAACAACGACAAGAACGAGGATCTCGCAAATTTGAACGACGTGAAACCAAGTTGGCAGGAGTCATCCCCTTCGCCGATTCTCGCGGTGAATCCTAGGCTGACGCCTGTCCTAAATAAGGCCAGCAATTTAAGTCCCATTCTTTCGAGGACAAGCACAACCACTCCTGTGGTGATGAGTACACCCGCGTCTAGCGTAGGTGCCTTTGGGACGCCTACAGCGGCCAGTCCCGCATTTAGCACGGCCTCTACCTCTTCCCTCGGCAGTACTTCTACAGCGGTGGCAGTGAACAAATCGACGATTCCAGTCAATAATCAATTAAACAAAGTTGCAACACCAAGGAGCACCTCTCCTAGCGCCAGTGTAGCTTCGGTTTCTTCCTCGTTGTCCACAGCCGTGGTCAGTGATGTCTCTGGGATATGTCCGATTACTATTCCTACGACTCCGGTGAGAGAATGTCAGATTTCAAGAATTAGTAACGGAAGTTCCGAGAATTGTAACGTTTTTCTTATAAGATGGCTCCTAATTCGATTATCGATTATAGAGAAAAAAAATATTTCTATGTGAATATACAGGTTCAGGCGGTAGCAGCAGCAGGTACTCTCCCAAAGCCCGAACAATGGTTAGGTAGTATAACAGGAGCAGTGCCGGTATCGACGGCGCCTCAATCGACCTCCTCTGTATCGCAGCAAGCTTCGAGCACCAGTCCACGAAGAGCACCGCCATTACATGCAAGGGCTCTCTCTCTCGGCTCGGCCGCAATGAGCGGTCAAGCGAGTAGAGGAGGTCCTTCCGATCCTTTCGATGCCGAATGGGCGGAAATCGCAGCTAGGAATCTTCGACAGTCGGCGACGACGACGAATCCATTTGTCGTTCCTAACGCTACTCAGGCCTTCCAGGTGCAATTGTAGCGCCAGGAGTTCGTGAACAGCGTCGCCAAGTACTTTCGCTCGAACACATAGTGACGGCTGCACGTACGCTCGCGCCTCGATCTCACCCACGATCGTAGGTATTATACGTGAAGATGAGAAGGAAGGGGAGGAGAAGGAGAAGGAGAAGAAAAAAAGTCGATTTCTTCCTCTCCCTTGTCTACTCTCTTAACCGTAAAGACGAGCGAAACTCGACTTGGATTATCGCTTGGTTTTTCTCGTCACGAGACGACGATCCCTGACACGTACCTCATTGTTGTCGCTGTAGTGTTACGGGGGAAAAAGAGACGGCGAGCGTTTAGCAACGAATTTGCATATGAGAAAGGAAAGAGGAGGGCAAACGGGAGGAAGAAAATATCCTAGAGATTCTATCGCTTAATTATTGTAGTTAGAAAACAAAGTATGCGCACAGCCTCGATAGAAGCACGCATTAATGTTAGGAGGACGTTGATGATGATAACGACGATGATGATGATGCACGCTCGACAAATAAGAACAAGGAGAAGAACGTTGAAAGAGAAAATGAGGCGTGAATGCGCTTTCAAAGTATATGTATGTGTGTGTGGGAGAGTGTGTGTGTGTATATACACACGTATATATACATATGCGCGCGCTCGCGCGCGCGCGCGTGTGTGTGTGTGCGCGTGTGTGTCTTCTTGGATCGATCGAAAAAAAGACTGTAGACGACGATAAAAAGAGTACTTATGCGAAGAAAGGCAGCCTTCGAAGAAGGACTGCATATCTGCTAGTTGCATATTTAAATGTTCGTCCGATGACGATTAATATTCGAATATTAAAAGTAATCTCGATAGTCTAGGCTCCAGCCGAGAGCGGTTATCGTTGTTCTGCATGAGACGCAAAATTGTACGCACCAAGATTACGCTGCACAAGAGTCTATCTTCTTATGGCTCTATTTTGAGACATTTTGTTACTTTTTATCTTTGTTTTTGTTTTTATTTCGTAATCGGAAAAGAAGAAAAAAACGAGAAAAAAGCATGAAAATAAACACGTAGTCCGGCTCGTGGTCGTATAAGGCACGTATGATTATTCGTTTTTGATAAGTTTGAAATTGATCGAATTCGTGATATTTTAAACGTCAATGTTTTCACGATGGAACTGTGATATGTATTCGATTGGATACGATCGCGAGCTATCAAAGCACCGACTACTCTACCGTACCCTATCCGGCAAAACGCACGTAGTTACTTAAAATAAATAAAGAATTTAGATGTTGAAATTAGAAAGCAGTACATCCTGCACTATCGTTGTCTATTATACGTATGATCGAATTGCATTTAATATTATCGAGGATTATAGGAGCGATCAAAGGAGAACGTATACTTTCACGAATATCGAGATACAATGTATCATGACGTAATGCATATCGATAAAATTAGTAAACTGAGTGAAATGAAATGGAACGCTGTAGAAGAATGAGAAAGAGAGAGAGAGAGAGAGAGAGAGACAGAAAACGATCGTCCAATTTGACGAGAAACAAACTCAAGAGAGAAACTCCTCGGTCCCTTGTACTAGAATAAAAAAAAAAAAAAGAAAAAAAAGAAAAAAAAACGAAAAAACGAAAAAAAAATCGCGGTAGTATTTCATCTCGGGGCTTTTTTCTGTCTTTCATTAGCGGTGGCTACGCTTTCGTTTTATTTTTCGTAACGGATCGGAAGCAGAGCAAGTCGAAAGAATGGAACGAATGAAGGAGAGAAGGACGAGCGAGCACGTCTCAAAATAGAAAAGCGAAGCTTACATTTTCTTTTCTTTATGAAATTGATATTACGAGATACGCGCTCGATCGTTACTTGGATGATCTGTATGCATTGTACATAAAGTAGTTATTTAAATGTAATTCGATTAAAAGAAATAGAGAGAGAAAGAGCGATTTAATGAACTGATATGATTGAGAAAAGAACAACGACGAATGCCTGCCTTTCGCAGATTTAATCGCATTACTTATGAAGCTTCATAAAATATTGTTTTCGCTTAGGGAATTTATTTATTGAAAAGATCCATTCATGGTACATGACACGTGTGGTACTATATAAGACTTTTGTGTATTACACTTTTTATAAGTTTCGGAGGATGTTTTAGAAGACCGTTCTGCCAATTTATCCTTCTTATCACCTCCGCTATACGCTTTATACACGCGTAGCTGTGTAGTGAATTTAAGGGATGCTAGGTCCGCCGTTAACAACTTCTTCTCACCACCGCTCGCGTAGCGTAGTCTTTGATCGGAGGTCGAGTACGTGATATTGGTGATCGATTCATTTATTTAAGATCACTAATTATCGATTAAACTATGTGCTAATTGACTAACAATGGTTTTGTATGATTTCTAAGTGTGCGACGATGTTAGCCTCATTTTTCTAACTGGATCTAAGATTCATGAAAAAAGCAAAATCCTCAGATCGTCTGGATTTTGCTTTCCAGGCGACTGGACCATTCATTGTAAGCTGTCTTCTCACGAATTGCGTCAAATGCAAATATAAATATTGGAAATGTGTAGGCGATCGTCTTCACACTTGCCCATCATGCAACAACACATTCTTCTCGAAGAATGTATACTACAATAGTCGCTTTTTATTATCGGTTGTTTTATCGTTCGTATAGTATTCGTGTCGGGAAAATGAGCAGTTTCGTTTATGAAATTGTGATATTTTTCGTTACCTCTAGAGATTAGTTTTAAGTTAGAGATAATATTTTATCGAAAAGCGAAGCAATATCATTGCATAAGCGATTAGATTACAAAGACAAAATACAACAGAATACAAAGACAAGAAAATATCAAGGAGCATTCGTCGTTGTGGCTTTTCGGAGATCAGTATGGATGGTTTTCGTGAAGCCACCTTCCGTCCGTCCCGAAAATCAAAAGAGATTAAAAGGAAAACAGAGATCGAAAAGAAAAAGGAGGGAAAGAGTGAGAGAGAGAGAGAGAGAGAGATATCTATATATATAACGAGAGAGACGGAGAATGAAAGATAAAATACAGTAGAAGGTTTATAAAGAAGCAGAAGCGTGATCGTTATGTATTTGCGGCAGTACTTATAAAAATGTTGGTTAGTCCATGTACTTAAAAAGCATCGAATAATAATACATACACATACAACGTACACGCTACATGAAACACAAGAAACACACGACACGTACAGAGCACAAAGAGGAGACATATCCAGTCACGATCGTTGCTTGTTATTCGCGAGTAACCGGTGCGATGGATTTCGTCGGCGTCCTTCTCAGTTTCCAGGATAGCTTATACTTTAAGCTTCTCTCGGGAAACATAAGCGTGCGTACAGAAAGAAAAGAATAAAAAAAGGAAAGTAAGCAAGCGAGAGAAAGATTGAGAAGGAGGGGGGGAGAGAGAGAGAGAGAAAGCGAGCGAGAGGTAAAACGTGTATATAACGCAGCCACGGCGATTCGTTACTGACATTTCGTCTTAGGTACTTATTATTATTGTTTTTATTTCATTTTCTTTCTTTACCTACCTTTTTTTTTCTATACTACCCCCTTTTTTCAACCCCTCGCTCCGCGCGTACGTTGGGTGAGCGCGTATTTCAAGCTGGTTGGAAGTCGAAAACTGGACCGATGAGTCCGCCCGGTCGAATGCAAGCTCCGTTTTTCCTGGAAAATTCTAAAACGATATCTAATGTGCGTTAGATAGAAATAGGAGAAAACAGAGAGATAAAGATAAAGGGGAGAGGAAGAGAGAAAGAGAGAGAAAAGGAGGCTTTCTCGTATTTCATCTTTTTTTTCTTTGTTAAAATTCTTTCTTCTCTCATTTCCCATTTTATTTTTATGAAATATACCAGGAAGCGAGAGCATTGCGCGGTTTAGATGTCCCGACTCTTGGAAAAGTGAAAAAATACAGTGCAAAAGGGACATCTAAATGGAAATCGACGGGCAAAGTAAACGTACCGCGTGCCAAATTCGAAAGTGCAACCACGTTGGCTGCTGATTCGGCGACGATTATCGTTATGCACTCTTTCGTGGTTGTATTGTACATAATGTTGCCGATCGATTCCTGGATCAAACGTACAACTTAATGCGTGTATATTTCGTAAAAGATATCCTTGTTCACTTTACAATGTATCTGCCCCTGTAAAGATACGGTTTATTATATAATGTCTGTTGTGATTACGAAATCGTCTTTTTTTTGTACGTATGTAAGTAAGATACAGCGTCTCCTGGATCATTATTTTCTTGCGATAGCGAATGAAAATTATGCGGAATGGAACAGACGCATGAATGTTTGCGTTTGTTCTTTCGTTGTTTTTTTTTTTTGTTTTTTTTCTTGTCTTTTCTTTCTTTTCTTTTATCCGCTGCAAACTTCCGCTGCTGTATAACCTATGGATTAAAAAATTTAATGCACGCTGTTGATCAGCCTAAATTACTAGTTAAAAAAAAAAAAAAAAAAAGAAAGGAAATAAACTGAAAACGTTATGATCGAAAAGAGATCAGGCTGTGTGGTCAAAATTAATCTTACTTAGCAATCGTTTCAACCAAGATGGCATTGACTTTTGCGGAAGCTCTCGTCGTACATCCACCTTCCGTTTCATCGCGTTGCATTGAGAAACAACCTTGTAATGATCCAGCTTGTCCACCGTGTCCACCGTGTTCATCTTGTCGGACACCAACTTGCGGACAGTCCAGCGTTCAATTTCAACTGACGTACACGTGTGACAGGTAAACGAATAGATATCGATATATAAACGAAAAGTTTTTATCGATGCATTTCTTCTTTCTTTAACCTTTCAATTTATACATTTGGACAAAAAGTCGTGTACGATTTTTTCTGGTTATACAGATCGACTTATGCGCCCTGTTATCGTCCAACTATACCAAATTGTTATCTTTGTCCAAAACCAATTCGAAAGACATGTTGCTGTCTAAAGTGGTACGACTGTTGTGGAAATCCAGTTTTCAAAAGTTGTTCCTAAAAGCGGAATATAATTTTTCATCCAAGTTAATAAAGAAAAAAGCGACATCGTTTTAATATAAAAATTTACGGAAGAAAAAGCAGGAAACGAGGAAAAAGCAGGATTTACGGACACTTATCTGAAGTATGTAATTTTATCTCGAAATAGTCGAATGCAAAAAAAAGAGGAAAAAAAAAAGAAGAAGGGAAAGACAAAGGCAAGCAGACGCATATAGACGACAAGGACGAAGCATCAGTTTATCAAAGAACTTTTTTCAAAATGTAGCCAGTAATTAATACTCGTCCAGGTTTCTCATGGGTTTTTCTTTCTCCGTCATAAAAGCTTGATCGTAAATCTGGGAGGAAGTTTCAACAAGGATATTTCCTTTAGCTCCGTAGTATTGTATAAGAAGAAAAATGTCTTGTCAGAGTAGCTGTGGAGAGGCAAGGCGTACGAGCACTTTACCCCCGCCGTGCTGTCATATAAGACCAGCGCCGTTTTGCTGTCCAAAGGATGGTTGTCCACCGATGCAGCAGTGTCCACCTAAGCGATGCTGTCCTCCTCCCACGTGCTTGCCATTAGTACGTCTATCACTTTTTGTGAAATGTGTTGATAAATGCAATTTGCACTCGAGATCATTCTCCGAAAGCATTGGGACATTTCTAACACCTTTTTTCCCTGTTCTCGTTAATATAACGATTACCTCGTTAGAATAATATACGTACATCTTGTTTTCAAAAGGTTCAAATACCTTTATACTTTTTCTTTCTCATGCGTATAATTATTATAAATCACTTAACTTTTCAAGTTTTACCATCTCGTTGACAAAATTAAAATAGCAAGTATTACTCGTAAAAGATCTATTAATGGATAATTAAAAGATCTTTAGGAACATTAGAAAGGAAATGAACGATAATGGTTAATTAATCGTCTCGAGTGATTTAAGATATTTCTAGGAAAACATTTCCGATCTCTAACCGAGTATAATGAATTTATAGATCTGCAGAGAACGGCCTTGTCCTCCACCACCGCCACCGACCGTATGCGTAGCGGGACCATGTCCGATACGACCCTGTCGAGTAAAATGCGAATGTCCGAGACCTAAAATAGAACCACCACCGTCTTGCGTTCGATTCTGCATACGCTGCACGTGCGAAGGATCAACCTATGCTCCTTGCTACTTCTCAAGCCTGCCTATGTGTCCGCGTATCGATTGCTGTTAACGGGTTACGTTGGTGCATCGTTTGCGATTTTATCAGAACATATAAATTCGACTTACATAGGGAGTATTTCTATAGAGTTTCATTTTGATGTAGCGCAATAAGAGAAATTCGATTAATCAAGCTAAAAGATTAATTACACAACTTCGAAGCAAGAAAATCGTCAAATTTGTCCAAACACGATTCGTAGATCTCTCTTATATAATATAATTCTGGAGAAGTTTAAAGGAGAATACGAGCAATGCAGACGACTCGCACGGCTAAAGCTCAGAGCGCGTCCGTGAACGTTCGGTCTTATAATTAGTTAATTAACAGAGAAGCGAAACAACATTCCGTGTAGCGAGTTTGTGATAAAGACAAAGCTCTTGGCCACTTAGAAAATTATGCAATAAGAAGCTCTACCGTAACTGGCTGCCATCTGAAACCAGCGAGCAAGTTTTCGTGCCTCCTTACTGATGTCCCGCTTTGGTCTTACGTTAGAACAGTTGTCTCGTCGATTTATTATCTGACACTTTGCCGTAGTTACACCGTGACTTAATCTTCTGTACAAACGTACGAACAAACAGACGTTTCCTTTCTCGATTTCGAAAGCTTCGCTTCGTAAATATGTATGTAGGTGCAATGTACATTCGTACTTATCTACGTGCGATAAAGTCCGTTCGATATATCACTGGTGAAATCTAATGACATTAATTCTACTAGGAACTTTCTATTAATATCATAATCTTGTATTTGTCAAGCTCACGATTCGAGGACTCCGAACGTATACGTCCGCGAAATCTCGTATTTCTCGGATCATATTTCGCCGATCGAGTAATGAAATAAAAATAATTTAGCTGGGCTCGAAAAAATGGTACTAAAGTTCTTTTTTTCTTTTTTTTTTCCTTTTGTTTCCTTCTCGGGAAACATTATGACGATTACGTCGAGAGAAACGATGAGGGTACGAATACGGTCGTCCGTAGGGGGTGTACGACTAAACGTCGATCACGGCCAATTTATTTGGCGATGTATGCACGACCGTTAAGCCGATTAATGCAATCACCCGCGGATATATAGAGATCGATCGTGAACATCGGTCGCCCGTATAATACCTGCATTATCTGTCATTAAAGCGAACGCAGAATGCGTTTTGGTCCTCTCGATATCGCTACGTTTCCCTTCTCCTTTTTTTTGTCCTTTCATTTCTGTACAGGATGGTTCATTTAAGATGATCCGTCGAAGGTTGCAGGTCGAAAGCTATTGAAAAAGATAATATCACGTAACGAGAATATTTGTTATTCTCGTTTTACGTTTCGAATAAATATATCGTCGTAAAATCCATATCCGTATTGTACGATATTTTTGTGATTCGTTCAAATGCGACACCCTGTGTATATACACGCGGCCCTCTCTCGCTCGCGCGTCCTATCTCAGTCAACTTTTTCATCCGTCCTGACCAACACTCCGTTGTAGCTACATATTTTACACCTATCGGGCGTGGTTCCCAGAATCCGCTTTAAAAAGTTCTCTCGTCAATGTTTAATCCATCGGAGGGCCGTTGCTGGTATATTACGACCGCGAACGAATGGAGTGCTTTTATGCGGTTCAGCTGCACACCGACAAGCAACGACGACAAATGGCTCGCGCGTACCTTTGCGGGCGGAATTGAAATCGAAAATAAATTGAAAGAATTCAATTTTTCCAGAGATGAAACGTCATTATTCAGCTGGCAGAGCGTCCTTCGTATTTTTGCAATCATTGACGGTATGCTGGACGTCTAAAGGGTAGGCGAGTCTCTATTATCTTTTGAAATTCATTCATCGTCCCTTTTGTCTTTCGCCTTTCCTTCGTTTTTCCATCGAAAATTTGTATTACTCGCTTTTTACCTTTTTCTTTTCCTTTATCTAGGACCGTTTGTAGGTAGCGAAAAAAGATGGTAAACTCATAAAGGTTACTCGATGTTTCGTCGATAGCTTGGCTTCGTTCATTCCTTGATCAATTTGTTGATTCATCTATGTATATATCATTATTTTTGCAAACCAGTCAGGGGCTTTGCCTCGATATCGTTGAAACAATCCAAACGATTAACGACTAAATAATATATTGTAATTGAATCGTCGGTTAACGAGCGAATATTCAACGATTTATAAGAATTTAGGGAGCGTGAATCTAGCAAACTATATTAATATTGAATATTTATTAGTTATTGCGTTTCAAAAAGCAATATTTCTTTTTTTCTTTTCGATAAATGCGAACGATGCCGGTTATGATACGTTGCAAATCAAAACCAATATAAATTGGTCGTTGTCACTCGGTCCAGCTGGTACGCGTTCGTTACGATACTACGTATGACATTTTCAAAGAGCGAAAATGTTTAATTCCTAAGGGCGCTTCATCGATCGATTAGTTCTCGTTTTGACGATTTTTAATGCCACTTCGTAAGCTCGCAATTATACGATTCCGAATTGGTCATACTTGAAATACGCTTTAAGTAGAAATCATAACGAAGCTAATAAATGAAGATGATTGATGTCTTTTAATTAACAAAAATCATATCCATACGATCGGTTTTGTATTTCGAGAAGGCATTCGACGATTTATATAATTTCTACGTTAATCCATCACTTTCGTTCGTTTAATCGTGAAAATCATCGATGACAAATATCCTCGATAATTCGAGTTTGATTCGGAACAGACTGAACGAGGTGATACACGAATGCACGATACGTTTGATATATCGAAATAAAGTGACTTTAGAGGCATAACAGGTTAAAACGATAGGTTTAAACCAAGACTCGTAACGAGAAGAATCAAACGAGAGAGAGAGAGAGAGAGAGAGAGAGAGAGAGAGAGAGAGAGAGAGAGAGAGAGAGAGCTTTTCGGATTCTACGATGTCGGACGACGCCAAAGTATACACATTTTGAGTATACTTCGTGATTCTCCCGCGAATCAATGGAAATCTGGCGACTTTAGGGACTTATCGTCGCTCGACACAAGAAATAGAAAAACTACGCACACGCGCGTGATTGTATGTGCGCGGAGAGACGCGAACATGAAGGAAACGTAAAGGAAATGTAAAAAGAAAGAAGAGTGACGGGTTTAGATAGGGGAAAAGGAGAAAGTGGAATCGTATAGAAAATGGAAAGAAGATTTCGATGGCACTAGTTTTTCCTTCGCCTTCGTCGATTTCCGGAACATTCAGCGCCTCCCACGTGGATTAGAGGCGTCTTTGCGGAAAGCGTAACTCGATGTCGAACGTCCGTTTGGAAGATCGACAGGTAGGTTGGTACTTGAGTTTACTCTTGAGTTCGTTTCTTTTTTCTTTTTTTCCTTCATATTTTAGCTTTTACCAAAGTCTCCGAGGAGTTTATAGATAAATTTTTGTTATTTTTATATTTTGAAATTCTCGAAATCATCCAAGAAAAAAAATAAAAAAATTTTCGCAAATGTCATATTTTTTTTTCTCCAAACGAGAATCCTATCGATCAGAATCTCTGAGGAATATTATCGTCGAGGTTCCGTTTTAATAATTATTTCCCAGGACAAATATAAATAACGTATCACGGTTGAGCATTTTATCATGGCCAGGCAGGGAAAGTACGAGTACGAGAGAGGCCTTTCCTAATTAAAGGAGATAGTAGAAACGCTCACGCTTGGCTTAGAGACGAAGACGCGGAAGGATGCCGGCGCTATAATTTCCGTGGAACGATGCGAGTCTCCCGTAACGTTAGCGCGTAGTCGGTAACAACTCGGCGGGGAGTGATCTACGACGTTGAAGTCAGCCAGCTCGAGTCGGCTCGGAATATGTTATGACGACGATAACTCGAAGAACGGGCTTCTCGTCCTGAGAAATGTGACGGAAAAATGATCGTCCTCATCAATTTAATCAACGTGTAATACGTGTTGAGGCGTAAGAAACAGTTAGTTATACGCATTACGTGACTGGTGTTTTATGCGAGACGCGTTCGACCGTGAGACACTTTGCATTTGATGCGTTTGCATCATGGATTCAGTGAATCGTATTGGGCAAAGAGATCATTATGTTTTATTCTCGAATTTACATCGAATCTTTTGTGCCATCGTTAAAATATTATGTGCATAAATGTTCGAATGGAGTATAAAACTCGCAAGTGGTTATTAAAAATCGACGATATAAATTTCAAATGAAATTGTAAATAAAAATTCGAGAAAATAAAAATCGTCAATGTAACGATCGTAATACTGCAACGTTAGAAGTAGGAGAGGAAACTTGGAGAAAAGCATTCGCGAGGATATACGAACAAGTCGCTGATCCGTGTCAAAGGGAACGCGATCGTTTAATCGAGCGAGTTCGATCAGTTTCTCGTTCAGTAATTTACTCGGTATTACGTACTCTTAGTTACTTGTAAATTTAATTAATCCTTTCGTATCAAAGTACGTATCGAGACGAAAGGACGCCGACGACGACGACGACGACGCCGACGACTACGATAGAGAGAATGGGTAGCACGAAACGTTACGGTTTCGTTGCTCGAGTTGCTCGCCCTTTGAACCCGACGCACTCGCTTCTTCACTGAAGTAGCACGGACGAATGTTCAACTTTAAGTGGACTCCGGTTTCAAGAAGGGTGGAAAACCACCGTCGCCTCCTCGCCCACGTATCACTTCTTCTTCTTCTTCTTCTTCTTCTTTTCTTTCCATTGCTCTCATTCTTTTTTCCTTTTCCTAGTGGAAGAGGCGAAGGTAAGGAGGGTAAGGGGATGAAACGTGCAGTCGAGTTTCTCGAGAAATTACTCGGTCCCATCGTTGCGGCCCCGTCGCCTTCTTTGCCACTCGACGATTCTTCTGTTGTGCCTTCTCTCCTCTCTCTCTCTCTCTCTCTCTCTCTCTTTCACCTCCATCTCCTTCATTCATCTTTTCTTCCCTCGCCTTCGTACTTTCCGCTTTGCGAAGAAACTACTCCTCGGCGAAGAAAAGTTTTCTTAATACCGTGAGAAGCGTGAGCCAACACAACGAAGGTTCCTCTCTCTTTCTGACTGGGCCATGCTCGTATTATCGATATTACTCGTAGCTATGAAAGTTGGAAGACGAGCGTGAGTTTCAGAAAATATCTCGAAAGGTATACGTGCGCATGTAAGTACATATCTTTCGAGAGAAAAAAAAAGAAGAAGAAAAACGACGTATCTAGCAACAACTCTCAAGAGGAATGCATCGTATATCGAGTATTATACACCTTGTCGTTAAATTTGTTTCTTCTTAATAATATAAAATAAATACGGAGCACCTTTCAAGAGTATCTTAAAATCTTTAAAGTGTTATTTTATTTAGAATTGAAATTGTAAAATATAGAATTACGTCGATAGTGACTTTTTAATGTTCGTACGAGAGCCTCGATACCATTGAATTAAATATCATTTCAAGAAAAAAGTATAGAACATGGAAAAGAGAGAACACAGGGAAAATCAAGGAAGAGCTTGGCCCGTACATAAAATGATGTGTATCCCACCCATTTAGTTGAATAATTGGGTCCTGCACTTTCTCGGTGTAAAGGAACTCGCGTAGTTCCCTTTCTAGTTTCTCTTTGTCTCTCTTTCATTTACTTCGTGTACCCCTTTTCCGTCTCTCGTTCGTGGAAGTCGCCTTAATGCACTTATTGTTAATGCAATTCCAGCGGGTTTTCCGCCTGATGGTCGCCTACCTTTCATTGACAACTCAACGTCATTTACCTCCGACGTATACGCGTATATTTTCGGGGTATACGTGTGCGTAAGCACGTTCATGCGTATACGGGTACGCGTGGGTTAGCGTACGAATCCACTCTTCTGCAGACAAATTAAATTTGTTAGCGAGGGGGTCGGGGGTTCGAGTATACGGGTAAAGAAATACGCTTACGCTCGGCCTGTTGATCAAGAGTCACGACAGCGACTGAACGTAAGCTATATACATATGTGTGTCTGGTTTATAGTCGGCGCTCAATTGTTCATTATGCATCGAAATTACTGACGGTATATTTTCAAACGATACACTTTCATCCGTTCTATTGTAGAATCGTGGTTAAGAGAGTGAATGCTCTTTCTTACAGATTAATATTAACGCGCGTAGAACGTTCTCTTCCTAAATAACTACACGAAACACTTTTACGTATAATAATATTTTTGTATTATGTAATGCTCGGAGGTATAGGTTATAAATCTTTAGATCTCGTTTTCACGTTAAACTACGTTGTTGGCATCGAGTCACGATAAAGGGTGTCACGCATGGTGGAGATTTCAACATTGGTA